GTTGTGAAGAGTAAAGGGTAAGAATCAAATACATTAGTCGTTGCTCTTACACATTAATTCTCTCATTTGAGGCTGATCTGGAACCACCTACTTTTTGATTAGCAGCCAAGCACTTAACTAGTGTGTCACCAGGGCTCCTCTGCAAGTACAATATAAGATTTAACACAGCTGCCCCCAGCAAGAGTGCCTGGATTTGAATCCTGGCTCTGCTTCTTACTAGCTGGGTGATCTTGGATAGGTTGCTCAACCTCTCTGTGTCTCACTTTCCCTGTCAGCAAAACAGGTAGTGATAATAGTACCCAATCTCCAAGGGTCTTTGAGACTATTAAATGATACGAGGCATGTAAAGCTCTTGGAAGAGTGTATAGCACATAGTAGGTACTTAATAAGTGCTAGTTATTAATTTTATTCTTTTGTGAAGATCACTGAGCCAAGACCTGGACCAATCTCATGACAGCCACTAAAACCCAGGCAGTGTAGAAAATAAACTTCTTACACTCTCTGGGCTTCTGTGTCTTCTACTTTCAAATGAGAAGAGAAAATACCAGCTTCCTGTGGGACTCCCTGGCATCCCAGCCACCAGTTCTGGTGGCTACATTTTCTGCAGATGCACAAACTACATAATGAGGGGAAGGAAGAGGTGGGGAATTTAGATTACTTTTTGCACAATTTCTTTCCCTAGTTGCTATTCAGCTCTTTATCTCTTGGTAAGATTGTAAATGTTTCAGAAAATAGTTTATACTAAATATGTTCCTTCCTACATCTCATAAACAGTTACTTCTTCCTACATAAACCCTAACCACTTACACCCATGGTAGGTCCCAATTAGCGCCACCCACACGTCTGCAGAGAAAAAAAAAAAATGTTCTGATGCACTTAGACACACAGACACACACCACTAACACACACACACATACATAAACACGTTTACACATGTGCACTATCCCCCTCACACATATCATCCTTCCACATACGCACACATCTGAACACACATATACTCCCATACACACTCACACATGAGCACCTCTAACTCAACCCCTCCTCTATGGCTATTGTTAGGTGAACAGAGACCTGTTTTACAGGTCAGGGTCCATGAGGCAGGACTCTTGCAGATCAGTAGGCCTCAGGAGAAGCCTCCAGAGGTCACTATTGCTCCTCAATAGCTCTCAAACTAGCTTGCACTTTATTCCTCAATGGCCAGGCCATTATGACTACAGCCTTGAGACTGGATTTCCAGAAGCTGGATTGGGGCTCTTCGCCCCCTTGGGGTGGAGGGAAGTGCTGCTGCCCCTCAGCTTCACAGAGCAAATCTGTCACTTATAGAAGCCACGAGAGGCAGCTATGCAGAGGATGGACTCTGAAGCCAGACTCCTGGGTTCAAATTCTTGGCTATGCCATTTGCTAGCTTTGGAACCTTAAACAAGTTACTTCACCTCTCAGTGCTTCAGATCCTTTATCGATAAGAGGAGTGTGATGATGATGGTAACAGCATCTACTCATAGGATTGTTAAATGAGTTGAGATTAGTAAAATGCTTGCAATGGTAGCTGGTACTTAGTCAGTGTCACACCATGTTTGTTACATTAAATGAGAGAAATCCTCTCTCTCCCTAATCTCCTTCTCACCCTAAGGATTACTGCACAATTGGATGGGGGGATTACAGACTTGGCTTTGCCATCTTAGAGCCAGGAACTGTCTCATCGCAGGAAAACAAATCTCTTACTGAGCAGCTGTCAGACCCAGGACTTGGCAGAGAATGAGAAGAGAAGGGTTCTCCCATCATCATGGATCATGGCAGGGCCCAGAGCTGGGAAAATGGGCGCCTTGGTAGGGCCACTGCCACCCAGGATAGTCACCACCCTTTGGCCAAGTTGGCCAGTTTCTTATTCACTGATTGGCACTATAGTCTTAAATCTGGTAAGTACAGGCCTAGACACAAATCCCGGGTATTGTTTCCAAAGGGTGAAGCTGGTCCCCCTACAGATTCTCACACGCATCACAGGAGCCCTCTCTGGTTCCATTTGCTAAGATATAAAAGCATAATGGGTCTATACCTTTATCATTTAACGAATGCAGCATAAATTGCTGCATTGGTGCCAAAGCTAGCCAAAGCTGCAGGTGACTTGAACTCCAGTGCTCAGGTTCCCCTTATGCCTGCAGGTGAGCCCTCTTCTCCACTCCCTCCCTCCCCATGGCAAATTCTCCAGTTCTGGACCAGCTTCCCTACAGATGGAGGCATGTCTTTTGGCTGTGTTTTTGCCTCCTCTTAATGCCTGCATACAAATAGAATGAAAAACATCAACATAACTAAACAAAATAATTGTTTGCCTCTCCAGGAATGACAAGGAAAAACCGTATTCCAGGGAGCCACTTAAACAACCTAGATGACCCTTTCCTCTTTTTCCCTATGTCACATGGACCTGTTTTCTTCCAAGGCTGCACACTTGTGTTTCTTTCCATCTGAAACCTAACTACACTAAATACTGGGGTTCCCACAACTATGGAAATTTAAGCCAGAGTGAGTGGATTTAATTTTATTTTCCCAGATTCCTAGTTCATTCTATTCTATGGTAAGTCCTGATTTTTTAATTAACTTGCGTGTTAGTATCTGAGTAAATGGAAGGGATGAAAATATTAACTTTTATTAAATACAAAATAGCACTATAGTAGTTGCTTTTTCATTTAATTCTGCTAGTCATTTAATTCTCAAGTATACTCTAAAGATGGGATTATACATTCCATTTTAGAGATAAAAACTGAGGCTTAGCTCAGAGAGTTTCAGTATCTTGCCTACAGTCACACAGCTGGCTCAGCTCAACCAAATTCAGTTCACTAGTTCCATCTCTGTTTGTCTCTGTTTCTCCCTTTCTTTCTCTCATATGCTTTTTTCACTATGTCAGATTAAAGCAATACTATCATAAATCTAAATCAGGAGCTTCTCTGGAAATGCTCTATCACTCAACCTTATATATCTTTCAACTACTCCCTGCCTTCCATTAGGTCTCAGTTTCTCTCACTGCTGTCAAGTCAATTCTGACTCATAGTCACCCCCATTGGGTTTCCCAGATGGTAAACCTTTACAGAAGTAGATTGCCCCATTTCCTTCCATGGAGCAGCTGGTGGGTTTGAACTGTCAACCTTCTGGTTAGCACGCAAATGTTTAGGTCACCAGAGCTCCTTAGGCCTCAGTTTATACATCTATAAAACAAGAGTTCTAAGACACACTTTAAGATCCCTTAGGATGCTAACATTCCAAGATTCTAGCAGGCAGCCCCTGTAGAATTTTAGACTAAATCCTCTTTCTCCAATCAGTATCTTAGCTCTCTCCCTAAATCCTTCCACCTTCAAACTTGTCTCAAAGGGTCTCCTCAGCGTTAATGAAGTCATATCCTCATGGAGATCAAAGATCCCAAGAATTTGGCAAAGAATAAGCATGTTCCTCAGTCAACTGAACTCAGAAGGAAAGGAAAAAATGATTCTCAGCTCTGTGAATGGGACAGAGATGAGAGCTGAGAAGACTTTTCACACCCAGGGCTCAACTATGAACTGGAGATCAAATGTCCAGGTCACAACATTGGCCAACACTCTCCCTCGGCCTTGTCACTAGACTGGCCCAAATAATTTAAATATTACCTCTTCCAGGAACCTTCTCATGGGGCCGCTCTTCTGTGTCCAGGTAGCTCCTTTCTCACGCCTCCCATAAAGCACACACTTGGCAATATTACAATGTGTTTAAAAAACCTGCTCTAGTCTAGATCAGGGACTGCATCTCATTCATATGTGTATTTCTAGCACTTAACACTGTGCTTGGCTCAGAAAAACTGCCCAATGAATGAGCAAACCATCTGGCCAAAAGCCTCCAGGCAGCAACCACATCCACCTTGCGGTTTCTACCATGCCCCATCAAGTGTTCTGCCCAGCAAAGTGGGCAGCCTTCATTCCCAAGCCTTCAGATGAATTGGCTGTCTGTGCACTGAGGAGGTCAGGGGAGCTGAGACTTTGGAGTTCTCAAGACCTTACAAGAATTTCTGCTTTGTCCTGCCTGCCAGCATCCACAGGGCAAAAGCTGCCCTTTGGCTCCCAAGAACAGGAGCTACATGCCACCAACTGACAAGTGAGAGGCCAGTTGGTCAGCTGTTTGTCCCATTTACTCAAAGCTGGACGACTGCTAGTGTTGTTCCTATCACTGAATGGAGGGATCCTTTGGACAGACATGCTGGATGTTAAGGTGGTCCAAGGGCCAGTCTTTGGAACTAGAATCCTCTCTGAGGTGTGACTGGACTGCCCTGTCTGGCTTGGCCTCTTGGATCTCATGTTTGCCAAGATCTGTTAAGACCCCAGACTCTTGTCCCCCCAGATCCCAATTTCAGAGTGGAAATGATGGCAGTGACCCATGCATTGGAATTGGGGGCAAGCAGAGAAGGAGATAAGAGGCTATTAGTAAATAAAAAAAGAAGAAACCAGAAGAAGGAAAACCAGTGGCAAATTAAAGTGCTATGTTTTCTTTTAAAAAATCCAGTTATAGGGAAATCTGCTTTTATACTTTTAGAAAAATCTTGCCCTTGTTACTAAGTATCCCAGAGACCCAGCATATAGATAAACCTTTTTGATCACATTTTTTTTTCATTACAAGTTGAGTAATAGGTATATTATAGTAATTTCTCTTTAACTCCTCCACTTTTCAAGCCCACACCAACACAGTGGGTTATAACAAAGCTCTTAGTCTATCTTTGTCTCAGACGTTCTCAGCATGTTGGCTTAGGCACTCTCCTTAGAATATCCCCTTTTCTGTTCACTCCTCCTGCTATGCACTCCGGAACATACTCTCAACCTCTCCCTCTCTCTCTTTCTCTTGTGCATAGACACAGACTCTTACAGAAGCAACGTATATGCATATAAACATATATACTCTCCTTCTAATTCAACACTAATCTAGTTATCCAATTCCCTCTCCGTTTTTCCCGACAGGTCCACACAGTGAAGTCCAAGTGAGATACTTACCGCCAAAGCCGGTGGGAAACTTCATGAAGTGAGAATAATTTCCATACATGTTTACTCTTCAGTTCATATTTCTCTCTTGCCTGTCTTCTAAATATTACAGCCTCTCCCAGCTCCTAGGCAAAGCTGGACTCTCTTCAACTTGGGCTAACAAGAGTGGTCATTGCTTCCTTGCAGCCCCAGGAGTACAGGCTGGGCCAGCCCTCTGGGATTAGTCAGGAATCTGCCTCTAGATCTGAGAGTCCACATAGTGCGTTCGAGAGGGCTGTGGCAGCAGCAGCTGGTGCCTGTCAGTAATCACGCATAATGCTGCTGTTGCTGCTGCTGCCACTGCCGCTGCTGCTACTCTTGCCACCGCCACCGCTGCTGCTGGAGATCCTGTTGCTAGTTTGATTAACTCAGGGCTGGGCTGATGCGTGTGACTCTTCCAGCTCCTGGCTTGTCCCCGGAGGTCCCTACCAATGGCACAATCTATTATCTAGGAAGCCAATCGATATATGACCGCCCCAGAGTAGGTCAGGAGAGAGGGGGAGGTTACAAGGGATAGGAGAGTCTTTAGGTGGCTTTTCCTTGACTCGCACCCACAAAAATCAATGGGATTTTATTAAAATGCATTTTCTCACTCTGGCTTCTATCTGTCCAATGCACTTGGTATTTGATCTGTGGAAGGGGGTGGGTGTGGGTAGAGAGAACAGAGCCCTTTCATAAGCATGAGATTACAGAAGCGTGAGACTCAATCCCCAGCTATGGAAAACTAAAATAGAATGGCCTCTGCATTTTGGAGTAGGCCTTGCAAGCTTTAGTGGCTGGAAGCATTTATTTGAGCCCTAACATGGAAACCCTAACAAGGAAGTCAGAACAAGTGTACTTGGGAGCCACAGCTCATTCACGTGAAAAACTTAAAGGTAGTGAGAATGTGCTAGCTCCATGTGGTGGTCATTCTCTGACATTTCACTGGAGGGACACAGTTATAACCACTGTTATTGTGTCATTTGTTTAAAAGGCACCACTGTCTCCTCACTGACACAGAGACTCTTTTGGGTGGAACCAATCTACAGATCAAGTCTAACCACCTCTTTGATGTTTGTGGCTTTCCTGACAATCCACTGCTCAACCTATACTTGAACACCTCCACTAACAGGGAGTCCATGACAGTACCATTTCATCTCTGGATAGCTGTTACCATACCCCCCCAAAAAAAGAAAACCTCACTGCCATTGAGTCAATTACAACTCACAGTGACCTGCACTGGGTTTCCAAGGGTGTATGTACAAATCTTTATGGAAGTAGATTGCCCCATCTTCCTTCCACAGAGCAGCTGGTGGGTTTGAACCACTGACCTTCTAGTTAGTAGCCAGATGCCTTATTCACTATGCCACCAGAGCTATTATCATAAGAATGTTTTTTATTCAGCTGAAATCTACTTTTCTCCCTAAGGCTTCTGCCACCTGGTTCTAAACTACTGACTGGAATCAAATAAGAGAAGCCTGTGGGGTCTTTCATGGTGAAGTCTCTCCTGCAAATCCTGAGACAGATCTTCCAGGTCATCGCAGCTCCAATCATTCCATCACAGAATGTTCAAGTCTATTCTTTTCCTTTGAATGCACTTTGATTTACCTAAATACCTTCATAGTGGGGTGGGGGAGATGGAAGACCTTGTTGTAATACTCTAGACATGGCCTAAATCTTCTCCTTGCTTTGTATGTGTTATGTATATGTACATGTACCTGTTAAGGGTGCAGTGCAATGAATTATTTAATATGGCCCTTCTAGCCACAGTCTCCATTGTATTGTAAATCCCAGATTTATGCCTGTGGTTATGGTCCCATTTTGGAATGAGCTGTCCATTGTTAATGAGATAAGATTAGGGTGAGATGTATCTTGAGTTGAAGCCTTATTAGAAGGTGTGACTCAAGTTGCCACCCTTAGTGTCCTTGAGGGTATGGGCTGCCTCCCATGTATATGCATCTGCTGGCAAAATTCTCTTACTCTGGATCTTGCATCTGGTTCTTTGTCATCTGACCTCTGGGTCTTGTGAACTGAGCGAACAACCTATCATCCAATCTGATTCACAGGCTTCCACAACCTTGGGAGCTATCACCTATTATCTTACCCGCCAATTTGGGTTCTCCAGCCCCTGCAACCATGTGAGTGAGAGAATCCTCCAGACTGATACCTGACCCATGGATTTTGGACTTACCAGCCTCCACAACCATGTAAGCCATTCCCTTAGTGGTTCATGAGTTCTGTGAGACATTGCAGTGAAGGCACTTGATGGCTAATCAGAAGGCTGGCGGTTCAAACCCACCAGCCACTCCTCAGAAGGAAGGTTGGGTAATCTACTTTTATAGTGATACTGCCTTGGAAACCCAAGGAGGGGTCACTGAGTTGGGTCTGACTCGACTGCACATAACAACAACAACAATAATATGGGAGGGAGAGTACTGAGGGAAGGAGGAGTAGTTGATGTTAGAGATGATGGAGTGATACAGCAGTTTGGAAAAATTAGGCATTTGGGACATGTTCAACCTTTGCCTCATAAGATCCAGCCTTGTGCTGATTCTTCTGAAAGAAATTATTCATGCACAGTTCAGTGAAAGTGCTGTTACTATACCCACCAAGGGTCAGTGCCATGGACTGAGCTCTGAGGGTCTGGAGCAGGATGTGAAGTCTTCTCCTGATGTCACATAGGACATAGAGAGTCAGACAGGCAAATCAAATCAGGGCTTCATAGGAAAAGTCAATACTAGGAAAAATTCAATACTTGGAAAACCCAGAAAATACTAGGAAAAACTAAGAATAAAGGGCCAGAATCAGGAGCAGGGTCAGAATGACAATATGAGGGCCAGAGCAAGAGCAGGTCAGGACAAAGAAAGGTCCAAGTCATTGTTGTGAAGAATCTTGGAGCATCCAGGCCTTCCTTAACTGGTTGTGAGTTCTTAGAGTGTCAGTAAAGAGTTAGGGGTGGACAGGACCAGTGCAGAATACAAGAGGGCCATTTGCTCACTTACAGTAGCTTTTAGATAGTTCCACATGTTCATTCATGTGGAACTAACTTGATAACCCCCTTTCCAGTTTTGTACATTTTTCAGACACATTCCTCATCTTATTCTTAGGCAAATGTTTCGGAGGTCGATATGCAGTATCTTCTTTTATTCTTCTACAGTGAAAATTTTGTTGATTCTTTCATCATCCCAGATCTTTTGGGATCTTGTTTTTGTCATCCAATGTATTTCTTATTCTTTCCCCCATCACATGACTTCTGCAAATCTGATGAACTGCTCTCCGTAGTTTATCCAAGTTATTGATTAAAGTGTTGTTTTATAACATACCACTAGAAAGTCTATTCAAAAGTCCCTTTTGCACTTTGCTCTGCTACTGAGTAGTTACATGGCCTAGAGAGGCTCTATCTGCAGAGAAAGCATCAACTCAGGAGCAAGCCTTACTGGGTACAAATCCCAGTCCCATTGCATACAGCCTTGTGATATTGGCATGTTACTGCATCTTCCTAGACCTCGGTTGACTCATTATTGGGGTATTCAATGAGTCAACACACGTCAATCACTTAGAATATGCCAGATACACAGTAAATGCTTGATATATGTAAGCTATTTTGTTGATGATGATGATAATGTAAACTTAAACAAGTCACTTTACCTCTTATTTCTTTTTCTTAGCATAAAATGATGGAGTAAATCGAGATGAGTTCTGATATCTTCTTTAACTTTAAAGTTTAATGCAAAATAATCCACCATCCATCCCATAGTTGTCCATTTTCTCTCCCAGAGGTATATGACGCAAATACATTGCTGATGTACAAGCTACATTTTTCTCTAAGTCTGGTATACCTATCAGAGATGGAAAGGAGTTATTTCAACACATCTGGCTCTTGGGTGAACCCATGCTGGTAAGAGTTCTTCCAAGTACTCAAAAACTATCCTTTAAGAAAGACCCTTGGGTTTTGTCCAAGGTCAATGATGATATGTTGGCACTTTGTGGCAAACTCTGCTTTCTTCCCTTTTTGCTAAGTTAGGTACATTGTCTACTTCTTTATCTCTGGACAGAATAAAGTGCAAATTCCTTAACCTCTCATTAGAAGGCCTCACCATCATGTCTCAGCCTACCTTTAAGCTTTGTGCACAAGAAAGCACTGTGGGACAGGAATCACAAGGCTACATATAGCTCTGCCATTCTCCACTTGTATGACCTTAGACAAGCACATTTAATCTCTGGGAGAAACACCCACGCTGCCTACCTCACTGAAAGGTCTTTTTTTGTGTGTGTGTGTATGTGTGTGTGAATCATAAGTGATATAAGTTGGGCATTTTTTTAACACACTGAAATTCTATGCAAACACAAGCAATCAATACTTTCCTTTTCTTCTTTCCTTCTTTTATCTGATTGTCGCCTCTGGCCTGGCTATTTCTTCCACTGTGAGAGCATGGGATGTTCATTTCAACTTCTGGTTCATTGTTTATGTCTGTTTTCCTTCTCCTACCTGTCAAAATTCTTACCTATCTTTCAAGTTCCAGCTCAGTTGCCACCATGACCACACTTACACAAAAATCTCTCCCTAGCTTAAGTCTGAAACAACCCATTGCCTGGTGTGTTCAGGTTACACTTAAAGTGTGTGACCTGTGGCATGTCCAGTGCAATGGAGCTCAATTGTTACATATCTTTCCTTTGAGTATATGTTCTCTTCATAACATGATTGCTAACTCTTCAAAGGCAATGATCTTGTATTACGTATCTTTGCTTTCTCACATAAATACTACAACACATGTTGTTGTTGTTGTTATGTGCCGTCGAGTTGGACCCAACTCATAGAGAGCCCTCCTTGGGTTTCTGAGGCAGTATCATTATGGAAGTAGATTGCCCCATCTTCCTTCTGAGGAGTGGCTGGTGGGTTTGAACCGCCAGCCTTCTGGTTAGCAGTCAGATGCCTTAGGCACTACAACACATAGTAGGTGCTTAATAAATATGTTTACACTAAAAATGATTGATAAGCTTGTACCAAGATACTCTAGGTTGCTTTCCCCATGATACCTTCCCATATGTTTTAACATCCCATTAGCAAAATACACATTTAGCTTGAACTTCAAGAGAAATGAATGTGACTTTTCTTTTTAATCCATGCTTTTTGCTTGGCACCACTGTGTCTTGTCTAAACCATTATTGACTTAACAGCATTATCCAAACTGGTATCTCTAACCTAAGCTCTTCATAGACAATATCATTGACTTCAGTCACTCCAGTGTCTCCACCTGTTACTGAATTCTCGGATGTCAAATACAAGACCAAATGCTTAATATCCATAGTTGGAATTAGCTAATTCATTCATAAGGATTCTGGGCTCACTTCTTGTCAAGGCTAATTATCTATTTCTCTTAAATGACATGTTCTGCTTTTATTAAACCCATTAGTGTTTTTGAGTAAGTAAAAAAGGAATGCATTTTCACTAGTATTTTTGACAGAATCAGCCAATAACTTTTATTTACTCTGGTAATCAAACTGTGA